TAACTTGTTTCCCTCAGCCCACTTTGACAGTGTCAAGGGACACAGTGAACTTGTTATTGAAAGAGTGTCAAAAGAGGATTCGGGTACTTACGTGTGCACCGCAGAGAACAGTGTTGGTTTTGTGAAAGCAATTGGGTTTGTTTATGTGAAAGGTAGGTAAAAGTACTCCGTTTTTAATTTATAATTTATTTATCATGAATGATTTGAGTTTTGCTTCCTTACTATGTAGTAATACAATATAATTTCGGTTTATGAATCTACTTAGTCCTGTTTCACATATGTACAATTTCATGGAAAAAAATTATGAGACTTCAACTCAAAAGTAGGTAAGAAGTGAGTAAAGAGATCATTTCACACAAAGTGGAATCATCCCTGTAGAATATTGAAATAGACAAAATTATCTGGTGATTTTGCATCCAGCAGTTGATTCTGGAAAATCTGTGAGGTTTTAAAGTGGCTTTTCCTCCTCTTTAGTAAATTATCTTTCTGAATAGGTCAAAAATCACAAAGAAATTATCAGTGCTTACTTTTAATTTGTTCCTGTCTTATCTTATTTTCCAGAACCTCCAGTCTTCAAAGGCGATTACCCTTCGAACTGGATTGAACCACTTGGTGGTAATGCAATCCTGAATTGTGAGGTGAAAGGAGACCCCACCCCAACCATTCAGTGGAGCAGAAGGGGAGTGGATGTTGAAATCAGCCACAGAATCCGGCAGCTGGGCAATGGCTCCCTCGCCATCTATGGCACTGTAGTAAGTGGTATTGGAATTACTGATGCACATTTAAACCCCACAGCAATGCCCCTCTATAAGTGGCATAGATAAGAAAAGTTTCTCTTACATTCTTATTTAAATCATAAAATCTGAATCAAAGAACTCCTTTTTAAAAATTGAAATGATGGTTAAAATTGGTATTTTTAGGCCTTTCAAATAAGTACAGCAGTAAGATAATTTTGCTACGTTGTTCCCGATCATTGACCTATTATTTAACATTAGGAGATAACCTCCTCAAACCTGTTTTAGAACAAGGAAATATAAGAATTACAAACACAGTTACAAATAAATTCTAGAGTAGATTTTTGTCAGTAAGCTGATAACTCTATTAGGTTTTTCCAAAGCTTGAGTAACTCAGAAAATGAGTGGTGCTTTTGGTTATTGTTCTAATTTGGAGGTCAAATGACCCAAAGTGAGATATTTTATCTGAAGGTATCTTAGGTAGAACACATATGGTTAATTTGTTAAATTGCATTTGGTGAGACCTTTTATGTGCTTTCATTGTTTAATTAATTGAAATAATAATTAAAATGTACTATCTAATTACCCAATTCAATGGACCATTCTCAGTCTTTTATTGTCCTTGATTTTACTTCAGCATTAGGTGTTGTTAACTGTTACTTTAGTATTGAGAGATTATTTCTACCTTTAGCTGCTATAACACTAATAAGGCTCAGGCTTCTTCATTAC